GTCTGAGGCCACATTTCAACTCAGGAAGATACGTCTTCCTAACTCCAGGCCCAGGACTCTATCCATTTTGACACCTAGCTACCTGCCTTATATGTGGTAAATGCTAAATAAATATTTAGTTGAATTAAGAGAAAGCTTTCACCTCAGGGGTTTGGGAAGGCTTCACTGAGGAAATAGTATAAGTTGGGTCTCAAAGCAAGAGAAAGATTTTTACAGGCAGAGATGAGGCCTGCACCCCAGGAACAGCAATACATGGAGATGAAAGGCAGCATATCAAATTTGAGGAGTAGCTAGTAGTCTAGTGTGGCTGGAAAGTATCATATATAAAAAAAAGAAAAGAAATAAAAAGAAAAAGAAAAGAAAAGAAAGTATGGTATACACAAATAATCAGAGAAACATAAATTAAAACAACTCTGGGCTCCCACCTCACACCCATCAGATCAGCAAAGCTGATAAAAAAGGAGAATGAAAAATGTTGAAAGGATTGAGGGAACATAGCCACACTAATGCACAGTTGATGGATCTGTAATGGATTGTTCTAGTCATTCTGAAAAGACACACAGAGACAATGTCTCTCTGTGCCCTCAAAGTTACTAAATTGTGGATCCTCTTTCACCCAGTGGTACCACTCTTAGGACTATACCCCAAAGACAGCAATAAAAGAGGATGTACAAAAATATATGCGTAAAAACATGGCAGCTCTTTTTGTGGTGGCAAAGAACTGGAAACTAACGAGTGACCCTCCTCTTAGTAAATAGCTGAATGAATTATAGTGTGTAGATACATACGTGTGTGTGTGTGTGTGTGTGTGTGTGTATGTATGTAATGGAATACGACTGTGCTAAAAGAAATGATGAAAGGGATGGTTTCAGAGAAATCTGAGAAGACTTCTATGAACTGATACAGACAGAAATGAACAATTTATGTAGAACAATTTATGCAATAGCATTGTAACAACAAACAACTTTGAAAAACTTAAGAACTCTGATCAATACAGTGACCATGATTCCAGAGAATTGATGTTGAAGCATGCTACCCCTCCTCCTGAAGAGGGTGAAGGACTCAGGGTGCAGAATGAGAAATATATTTTTTGGACATGACCAATTCAGGAATTTGTTTTGCTTGATTGTTTTACATTTTCTTTTCTTTTCTTTTTTTTTAGTATTTTATTTTTCCCCAGTTACATGTAAAAAGAATTTTAACATTTGTCTTTAAAAAAACTTGGAGTTCCAAATTTTCTCCCTCCCTCTCCAATCCCACCACCATTGAGAAGGCAAGCAATTCCATATAGGTTATATATGTGTATTGCTTGACTATTTTAAACAAGGTCTTTGTGTTGTGTTTTGCATTGTTTTCTGTTTTCTCCAGTGGGAGAAGGGAAGAAAGAAAGGAGAGAAAATAGCTTTTTGCTAATTGAAAAAAAAACTTTAAAAATAATAATAGTTAACATTTATATCATGCTTATTACATGCCAGGCACTATGCTAAGCACTTTACAAATATTATTTTCTAACTTAATAAACACTCTGGGAAGTAGGTGCTATTATTATCCCCATTCTACAGGAAACTGAGGCAAACTGAGGGTTAAGTGACTTGCCCAGGGCACCACAGATAGTAAATGTCTTCAGGTCCTCTTGGCTCCAGACCTGGTACTTACTGTATCTACTTCACTACCTAGCTTGCCCCCACAAAAAAAGTATGATATAATGAAAACTAGTGCAAAATAAGGCTGGAGTTCAATTGTGGAGTGTGTTTAATGCCAAGCTCAAGTCGCCATGAAAGTTGTTCAACAAGTATTTATTAAACACCTACTACATTCAAAGCACTGACCAAACTAAGTATTGGGAATACAAACATGAAATGAAAATGGCCCCTGCCTTTTAAGACCTTATATTTGTGCCAGAGCTTTTGAAGGGAGACTAAGATAGGCAGTGGAAAGGGAGGAGTCAGAGAAGGAGGAGTTAAGAAAGGAGGGACAAAAATTAAAAGTCGATGGAGCCAAAGGGAGAGCAGAAGGACCTTGGCATTCAGGGTGTCAGAGTAAGCACAGTATTTTGTTATTAAGTACTTAATGCTGTTGAAATGAAATAAAATGAAATCAGAGTCTCGGTCAAGGCAGGGAGTCAGGAGGACAGGGAGAGCCAAAAGAGAATAAAAGAAAGGGAGTATAACACAAAGAAGGGATTGGGGCTGAAAAGCAGTTAATGCCAGTCCATGAGGTCTCATGAGCCTGATAAATGTAGTGGAATCCAGGAGGAGAAACTTCATTGAGTCTTAGATTTAGATCTGGAAGGGATCTTGGAGGTCATAGGGTTCAACTCCCCTCATTTTATAGATGAGGAAAATGAGATACAGAAAGGTTAGGTGACTTGTCCAGGGTCACACAACTTGTAAACGTCTGAGGCAGGGTTTTGAACTGTCACTCTTGACTTTAAGTACAGCACCTACTGCACTGTCTTGCTGCCTCCCAGGCTTGGTTCTACCCACAATTAATTTTTAGACTCAGGGCTAATAATACTAATTCATTTGTATAATCTTGGGCAAATAATTTCATTTCTGTGAACCTGAGTTCCCTCCACTATATAATGAGGATAATTATCCTTATGCCACCTACACCTACAAGTCTTAACCTAAGTCTGAGCATCCTTAATATTGCAACATTTGAAGAGCATGAAGTTTTTTTTTCATTATGAAGACCTGCTCTGAATTAATAACTGAACCCATATCAATAAATCCTCCACAAACAAGTCTGACTCATCTCCACTTCCCACACAACACCAAATAGAGAGCCTTAGCCAGGGTAAGCTTTCAGGAACTTGTGGCAGATTTGAAGTGATATTCCTGCTTCTGCCTAGGAAGTTTTCCCACCTCCTCTCCAGATATTAAAATACTGCTCATTTTTCAAGGCCCTGTTGAAGTCCCTATCTCCTTCAGCACCCCAGAGAACACTGATTTTTTCTGAGCCCTTGCTCAGAAGTATATTTGGGAATTCTTAGGCCAGGGGCAAGTTCTGTCAGAGGATTGAGGTGGAGGTGACAGCAAGGGAGTAGTGCAACTGAAGAGGTTTGGGATGCTGGGACCCCAAGAATGCAAAGGCAGAATTGCCAGGAATGAATTCACATGCTCAAACCTTCTCTTAGTCAAGAGACAAAAGTTTTTTAGTAAGGTAAATAGCAGCGGGGAAAGTTCCTTTGGGGAACTTGCAACTTAATGGGGGTGAATCTAAAGCTCATATAGAAAAGGGGCAGGGAAAGGAATGTTAAGGATGCTCAATAGGTAATTCAAGGGGTCCAGGTGTTTTGGGGAGCCAGCATCAGGGATCTATGGATGGGAAAACTTAGGGAGTCAGCAGAGACAACTGTGTTGATACCAAACACTGAGGGAGAAAAGACAGTTTTTGTTTAGCTGCCAGAGGCATGGACGTTGGGAATCTGGCCCGAGGGACAGTCCTTGGCCCAGCCAAGGACAAAAATTCTTGGGCTGGTTACCCCCGTGTCTGGCCTTTATCTAAGGAATTACAGGGTCAATTCTGTGCGTGTATCAAGGTGAGAATTTCCTGGGGGAGGATCTGGGTTACTTAGACATGGTCTTGGGGCTTTTTGGAGTCCTGTTTCCACCACCCCATTACAACTGCAGTAACAGTAACCTATCCTTCAGTTAATTCACTCTACACCACAGTAGGAGGTTAGGGTTGAGAAGAAAGGGGGTCCAGGAGAGGGCTACTACAATGACACAACCTGGGAGTGTGGGGGTGGCCCAAAAATGGTCTACAGGGTGGTAGGGAATGTTGGGCATGAGCCTCGAGGAACCAGGACAGCAAAGTGGGTGGAAGCCCACGTCTGCCCTGGGAATCAGGATAGTTTCGCCTCTGCTAAGATATGGGTGTGGTCCTATCTCCCCTATCAGGATGAGCTTTGAGGCCAAGGACCAAATCTCTTCTTGCTTTTTTTTCTCCCTACCCCAAAAGTCTCATCTTCCACTTTTTTCCCCTTTCTAACCCTCACCCCTATCCCAGAGTATGGTGCAATTAATGAGTGAGAACTTGTGCGAACAACCGGAGAGGGTGCCCCAGTCTGCAGTGCAGTACTGGGAGTGATAGGGGTGTATCTTTGCAGAAGGCGGGAACCAACTGGGACCAAAGTCTTGAGCACCTGCACTGTGCCTAGTGACGACAGCCACACCCTGGGCCCCTCCGAGAGCAGGTAGGAAAGAGAAGCTCTGATGAACCAAAGCCCTGCCTGGGTCTTTGGAAGGTTGGTAGAGAGTAGGGTAAAGAGGTGGGGCAGAACCTGGGGCCCTGCCCCCTTTCCAGGGAGAGTGTGAATTAGGTTAATAAGTCAAGGGGGTTAGGCTAAACACGTGTTTCTGAAAGTATACCCACCCTCGGGGAGGGACGTGCTTAGATTATGTTAATAAGGACACCCAGCGCCGCCGCTGAGACTGTGCCGGAGGCAGCAGTCCCGGGGCAGACTTTAGGGAGTCAGATGGGGCCCCCTCCCGGCTTCGAGAAACCGACAGGGGCAGGGACCGATTGGCCTTGAGGGCAGTGACGTCAGGATCCCAGCGCGCGAAACCGCGGAAGGATTGAGGGGGTGAGAAAAAGGCGGGCGGGGCCTCGCTTCCTGCCCCATCCGCTGCAGCGGTAGCGGTACAGAAGGCAGCGGGGACCGGCAAGCTGGCGGAGGGGTCAAAGGAGACCCAGGACAGACCCTCCACAGTCTGGCACCCCCAGCCGCGCTCCAGTTCTTTGCACCGCAGCTAGCGGAACCCTCTTCCCCAGCTTCGGGCTCACAGCCACTGCGGCGGGGACGCCCCCTGCTCTTTTCGCGAGATCGAAGACGCGCGTGCGCAGCAAGAGAAGGGAGTGGGCTAGAGTGCGAGACCCCAGGCCTGGGGGCGGGACGCGTGCGCAGACCGAGGGGCTGGGGGAGGCGGGGCGAGCCACTGGGGGCCCCGGTGCTGCTGAGAGCGCGCTCCCCTGCCCCGCCTCCGTACAAACACGAGCCCCCGCGCTCCGGCCGGGTCAGGCCGGGCCATGGCGTTCCTCTCGGGCCCGCGGCTGCTGGACTGGGCCAGCTCGCCCCCACACCTGCAATTCAACAAGTTCGTCCTGACCGGCTACCGGCCGGCCAGCAGCGGCTCTGGCTGCCTGCGCAGCCTCTTCTACCTGCACAACGAGTTAGGCAACATCTACACCCACGGTGAGCGCGTCCCCCGGGTGGGGCACCCCAGCTCCCCTGCTGTCCCACCCTGCGGGGCGCCCAGTTCCCACTCTGCGCCCTTACCCGGCCCGCTCTTCGTTACCAGCTTTCCGTTCTCCTGACACCCCTTCCTTCCCAGCGTCCTGAGCCCAGCTCGCGGATTACCGCATACCCCATCCCCGCACGGCGGTTGCTTCCTGTTTCCCACGCTGAATAAGCCCCCTTTCTTGGCACGCATCGCTCGCCTTCGCCTATTGTCCCCGCAGCGCATCGCGCGGTCACAGCCCGCTGCCGGCTCCGTCCTGTGCGGGCCCCTTCACTCTTTGGACCTGCTGCCATCCCCTCGTTTGCCTGTAGCCGTAGGGACCGAGGGGACAAGCGGAGCACAGGGAGAGTTTGGGAAAGCCAGGGGCCTGCCAGGGCTCAGCCTTCCTGCTGTCTGGTCCCCAGCTGCTAAAAGTCGGGGAAAGGAAAGACAGGGAGATGAAGGGTTAATCCCGTTAACCTGACTGCAGTTGCCCCCTTCCATTCGGCTGCTCCTGGGTTATAAATCGGGATTATCCTTGGGTAGGGGAATTCAGAAAGCAGGGAGAGGATTAGGATTTGGGGAAAAGATTTAGAGACGAAGATCAGGAGGTGTAGTTTCCGGGAAGGAACTAGGGTCTTATTTAGGGAGATGGAGTTGGGAAGAGATGCCTGGGTCTGGGGATGGAGATTGGTATGGAGGAGAGACGGAAGAGGGATGAGACACCAGATTTCTGGGAGACATTCACTTTGGCACAGTGGACTGGTGTGACAAAGCTCCCATTGTTTGTGACCCCAGGCTCGGCCAGTTTTTGCCCCACCCCCATCACCCTAAAGGACCTCAAGTGTTGGGGGGGGCCCATGACCTCCCTGCGACCACGGGGGGTGGGGGGGAGGTGGAGCTGTATCTGAGTGGGGTTGTGACCCTAGGCTAATCCTTCTTGAGCCGGGGGGGAATTAGCCTAGTTCCTTATCAATCCCATAATCCCTTGTGTGGGGGTCCCACAAGCGGCCTTGGCCTAACAGCCAATTTTCCTCAGTTCCTGTTCATTCATTCCAGGGTCGGTTGTTTTCCTGAGGAGGCATGTGGGAGCAGGGGGTAGGGAAGGAGTCGGTGGTAAATCTAGATCTGCGAGCTCTGTAGCCTGCCCTCCCTTCTCCGTTAAAGACTACCCGGGTCCCTTCCCGTCCCAGAGCCGGCTGCCTGCTGAGAGGTTTCTCTGTCCCGTAGCGCCTCCTGGTGGTCCAAGCTGCCTGTTGCCGCCCCTTTGCCCTCTTCGGGCCCCTCCACCTTGGTCAGGGCTGAGCTCTGCTGACACAGCTGCTGAGCTCACTAGGCTTGTCCTTGAGCTGTTCAGGGAGAATAGAAAGAGTTCCCCTGAGCTAGCCTGGACTGAGAGCTACCTATGGACTCTGGGACCAAGAATGCTGCCCCAAGTGTCTTGCTTCCCAGATGCCTGGCAGCCAAGTGCCACAGTCAAGGATTAGGTGGAAAAATAATATTAATATTTCATGTTACATAGAACTTTACATTTCATATGCTACTTTCCTCATGTATATCATTGAAAATTTCTCATATTTTACAAACAGAGAAACAGGCTTAGGTAGTGTGCTGTACACTCCTCCCATTTCAGCCAGTTTCCTCATCTCTAAAATGAGGATAGTATACAAAGTTGTGAGGAAACCATTTTGTAAATCTAGAAATGCTGCAGAAATTTGAGTACTGTTGCCTAAGGTCACACAACAAGGAACTGGCTCAGTGAAAATTCAAATTCAGGTTCCTAATTTTAGGGCCAGTGTTTTTTCCACTCTATCTGCCACAGTGGATTCCATTTGTTCTCTCTCTCTGAATCAGGCCCTGAGTGGGAGGTGGGTCACAGAGAGGATTGGAGAGAAAGAGTAAGGAAGTTGGGAGGGACAGAGAAATCAAAGCTTAGTTGAATCATACCCAGGTTGTATGGCTATCAGAAGCTGGAAGTTTTTGAAGCCGAGAAGAGGCTAGGTGACTAGAAACAAGAGAATTAGGTATCTTTTTGTCTCTCCTTCCATCCTTAGCTTGGTTTCCCTAGTCTTTTGTAAAAATCATTGGAAAGGCCCAAATTTTTTATTTCCCCAGACTGTGCTTTGGAAGAAGTTATGGGAAGAGCTGGATAACACAACAATCTGGCTGATACTGTCCCTACGTCTCTCTACCTCCTCCTTCCCCCCATCCCAACAGGCTTGGCCCTCCTGGGTTTCCTGGTGCTGCTGCCCCTGACCATGCCCTGGGGACAGCTGGGAGGGGGCGGCTGGCTGGGGGGAACACACTGTGTGGCCTGCCTGGCGCCCCCTGCAGGCTCTGTGCTGTACCACCTCTTCATGTGCCACCGTGGGGGTAGCCCTGTCTACGCCCGGCTCCTTGCCCTCGACATGTGTGGGGTCTGCCTCGTCAACACCCTCGGTGAGCTGGGAAAGGGGAAGGGGAAATTGGGTGCTGGGGTGGGGTCGACGTTGTCCCACCTTTTGATGAATTAGGACAATAGATAATTGGGTAGAGAAAGGGGAATGGAAGGGGAGAGATGCCTTCTGGATTATTTTTGTGGGGCTTGGGAAGGGCTTGAGACTGCAAACTTTTCACTCATCACTTTTTGTATTATTTCTCCTTCTAGGGGCCCTACCCATCATCCATTGTACCTTGGCCTGTCGACCTTGGCTGCGTCCAGCAGCCCTGGTGGGCTATACTCTCTTATCTGGGTTGGCAGGCTGGCGAGCCCTCACTGCCCCCTCAACTAGCGCCCGGCTTCGGGCCTTTGGCTGGCAGGCAGGAGCACGACTGCTAGTGTTTGGGGCTCGAGGGATGGGGCTGGGAGCAGGAGCCCCAGGATCCCTGCCCTGCTATCTTCGAATGGACGCATTAGCATTGCTTGGGGGGCTAGTGAACGTGGCCCGGCTGCCTGAACGCTGGGGGCCTGGTCGTTTTGACTACTGGGGTAATTCCCATCAAATCATGCATCTGCTCAGTGTTGGCTCCATCCTACAACTGCATGCTGGTGTTGTACCTGATCTGCTCTGGGCTGCCCGCCATGCGTGTCCCACGGACTGAGCTGTTTTTTTTAATCTGCAAAAAAATGCTCCCATTCCTTGAAGCTGTAGAAGGTTCCTTTTTTCCTTCAAGGCCCCCCAAAATCTATGGCCTTGTTTTTCCCTAGGTCTCCCTTTTCAGGTCTATGGAGCTTTCACATGTTGCCTAATCATGAGCTCTTCTTTAGAGTACCAAAGGTTCTCATTTGAGTTCCCTAAATTTATACACTTTTTCTTCTTCAGGACTGTAGAGGGCTGTCCCACTCCATAGAATTCATTACTTTTTTTATCTACTCCAGAATATGTTCTCACAGCCTGTCATGTTTTCTAGAGCTATTTCTGTGATGACAGCTCACTCCAAGAGGTAGTATGATGTGACTAAATGACTGACAGCATCAGGAGACAATGGATTATAGTCCTCCACTATTCTACTATCCTGTACTGTGACCTGAGACAAGTCATAGGGCCTTGGGTCCCTTATCTGTAAAATGAGGGGCAAGCTATGTTTTATAATTCTGCAACTGAGCTTTCATCTAGGTTTCCAACTCTAGATGTCTGCATATATGCCACCCCTTCTCAGAGCCAGTAATCAATAACCTTACCTGTTATCTCAACCCCTTTTGTTCTCCACTAAATTGGATGGGGAGCAGTGAAGGACTCCCCAACTCCTCCAGTATCTGGTGGCCTTAAGCACCACCTCTCAGAAAGCATTTGCACAACTAAAGTCTCCTTCCCTGGCATGTTCGCCCCTTATATTTAACTTTGTACAAGCTCCACCTCTAAGATTTTTCCCTTCCCTCTCTCCCCCTAAAACCTCCCCTACACACAAACAACCATGGAATTAAGGATACCAAACACCAAGATGTCTGCTTCTTGCACAAGGCCTCTTTGCACAAGGATTGGGCCAGGGTGGTCCCTGCAGAAGAAAATTCAGCTTCTTACAAAGACTATCACAACCACTCCTAAACTAGGGCAAAAGACTAGTTCTCTGGTCCAAGAATTCAGGCTTTTTCTACTCGGCATAAGATGGATCCAGAGGGTTTTTAAATGCACAAGCAAACTTTAAGCCTCACCTGTGGACTGAAACTGCCCAGGTCTAAACTCCTGCACTTTTTGCCTGAGGATGGTGCTCTTTGACTGTTGGACTTGTAAGATTGGAAACCTCTCCATTCCTGACAAAGATGCAACTCCAATCTCCAGTCTTCTTGTATGAGGATGCTGGCCTTTTGGAACAGAAATGTCTCCCACCCTAGACCTTATCTTTGGGGTTGGTAGAACCAAGGATAAAATCAATAAATGGAGCAGGATGAGCTGATCAGGAAACTGTTTTGAGGGTCACTCCTTAAAGATTCTATAAAGGCGATTTCTAGTAGTTTCAGTTACACAAGAATATCCAAGAATCCCCAAGATTCAAATAGTTTTTATTAGACTATGCCATCTCCAAAATTTACAGAAGGGATCCTAGGAAAAAAAACTGTCCCTTGCCCACTGCCAACCACCTCCCCAACCTGTGGAAAGCATAGGCCTATATACAGAAGCGCTCCCAAAGTAAAGAGAGCCCTGGAGTGAGGAACAAGGATAAAAAGATTAAAAACAGACTAGAGTTTGGTTGGGCCTCAGTTGGGGTCAAGTGAATCCTCAAAGAGGCTGAGGAGGTTTCGGGGCTCAAAGGAGGGACCCTGGGGCAGCTCCGGGCTGATGCCACTTAGGTCCAGGGGGTCCCTGCAGGCAAGGAGGTGAAAGGAGGGAAGCAAAGAGTGAAGGCCAGAACTCATTCCACCAACCAGCCCCTTTGTCTCACCTTGCACACAAGGCTGCCCCACCCAGAATCTAAGAATTCAGTTCTCACTTGTCTTTTGACTACTCCTGTCTCCCAGTTTTCAGCTATCTCCCAGATTGGGTTTTCCTCTCCCCCTTTTCAGACTAAGGTGCTCCTCACCTTATCCTCCGTCCACCTCTGACATCAGGGGAACCATCTCGAGGGGTGGAAGTACCCCCAGGGGAGCGGGCTAGGATCATCGCTGGCGACAGTGGGGGGCTGTAGGGGACAGAAGAACTTGAACAAAATAGGGTAGGGGATCTGGGGAGCACAACAGAGAATATCCCCCTGAAAGTCCTAAGATTCTAGAAGAGAAGCACAAGGCTAGCTTTGGAGCAAGGGTTCTTTGTACCCCCTTTAGCAGTCTGCAGTCTATGGACCCTTTATCAAAATAATGTTTTCAAATCTATAAGATACACAGGATAACAATGGATTTCAATTATATTGAAGTACATTCATCAAAGTAGTTTTGAAAACAAGCACAGAGACCCCAGGTTAAGTAAATTTAATCTTTTTAACCATTGACTAATAAAAATCAGGAATATACTCCTAAAGCAAAAAAATGCCATTATTAACTGAAAAAAGGGGTTACTATAGTAACTATCCCAGGTAAACACTGTTATATACTTGCAGATTATGCATGCTGGGAATTATCTCCCTCTAGCAGTTTACTTTGCTTATGTGGCACTTTCCCAACTAAAAGACCTCATGTACAGTCTGCTCCTAGTCAAATGATTTCTCTTATACTTTGGGGTCTTCCAACTCTAGAAAGAGCTTGAACAAATATTTGCTCCACTTTTCCTTTTGTCTAGGTATTTGGAATGTCTTAACTTAGCTCCACTGTATTAGACACTATTAGATATATAGATAACACCCTAATAGTATTCGTCAGATAAATATGATACAACCTAAGTGTGAAAACATCTTAAACTTGAGCCTACAAGGTTAGGTGAAACAAATCAGTTTCCTACTTGATCACATCTGTTTATATACTGAACAAGAGATGTGTGTTTGAAACAAACTAGAATATCACATAATGAGATTTAGCATAACATTGTGAAACCCAGCTCCTGGAATAATGCCATCACCACTTATGCCCAGCAAGGCATGTGATAGAAGCTTCACAGTAAGGATAGAATGTCAGAAATATTAATTCTAATTTGACCTAGTCTAGTCAACTAGCATTTAATTAAGTGCCTACTACTTGTCAGGCACTATGGATATAAAGAAAAGCAGAAAGATCAGATTATCAGATTGAGGCAGTTTTTCTATGAAGTTATAAGCCCACCCTTTTCCCCCTGAGTCTAAGTTGACTTACCCCAAGCTGTCATCCTCCCAGTCACTGGAGATGCTACTGTCTAGAAGGAGGCTAGAAAGTGGGGAGCTGGGAGGTGTGGCTGGAGGGCCCAGGGGGCGGAGCCAGCTGGCTGGGTGAGCCAGGCTGTGCCATAACCAGCATAGCAGAGAAAGGAAACCCTACGGAAAAAAGGTGAAATGGAGGTGACAACTCTAAAACAGAACTTTCAAAGGAATGGAAGTACTCAGAAATGTTAGTAGAAAGAGCAGTCTATGGAACTTACTTGCCATAAGGCTCGACCTCGACTCAGGACCTCATGGGCTATGCCTCCCAGGGCCCCCCAGTGCCTTAGCTTCCTTATGACCTCCAGGGCCAATAGGGCTTCAGCTGTGGCACGCTTCTTGGGGTCTGGTTCTAGCATCATGGTGAGGACAGACCGCAGCTCAGAGGATAAGCCTATGAATAAAAATAGGGATAAATTAGCCTACTTCTCAAGAACCTGTTCTCCCAGAACTCAAATGTGGTTCTTCCAAGTACCCAAGAAAGACTTTTTTTCAATACCTACCACAACTAATTCCCAGAACTAGAACTCAATTACTCCATGGTCCAATTTTGCAGCCGTGATAAGTTAGTGGTATTTTCTTTGGCTTTCCCCCAGCCCTCCTGATACATAAGAACCAAGGTGTACCCTTTCTGTCTACCCTGGAATCCAGGTCAAACCCCTTTTTCAGAACTATGAAAGGATATCTTGCCATACGGTGCTTCTTGCCACTCTTCCTTCTGCCTCTACTCACCAGCAGTGAACTCAGGGGGCAGATAGCCCCTCCGGAGTTGCTGCCAGCCCTCCCCACCACGGGGCAGCTCCATGTTGCAGGCGACTTCCAGAATGGTAAGGCCCAAGCTGGAAAAAAGAGCAGTATTAACCCACAGAAACTAACTTACTTGTGTCTATACCCCAGGATAAAGTATCCTTATTCATCCCAAAAGCACAAGAGGGAAATGGCAGCTACATACACTACATATAGCAACAGAAGGCCTCAACATTTTTTATAGAGAAACTTTTTGTAGAAGTCTTAAAGAGCACTTAGTAGGGCAGGGAATGGAGTAGGATTGCTGAAGTTCCTGGGAATGGTCACTACCCCTGGAGCCTTTCTCCAAACAACTTGACACACAGAAACCTAGGCATGCCGCTTCTTGACATAGCCTGGAATCAAAGGCAACTGACTCCCCCAGAATTCTAATTCCCTCAGTCTTTCAGGGCCCCTTACTGCTTTTTAACAATAAAGTCCCTGAGTAGAATGGAGAAGGGAATTCTACCTTCAGCTGTACACCCTTCCTAATGATCATCTGGAGAGGGACAAGCTATTCACTGGTCAGGAGTCTATTTTTGGAGACTCTCATAAAGTGACCTAATGCCTTCAGGCCATTCTTGAGACACAGTGTAACACTTCCTTATCCATGAGAATTTTTCATTTTCATTAAGTTTCATTAAGTAAAATTTATTTCAGTCTCTAGAAACATGGGCCTCAGCATCATTTGGGTAACCCCATCCAAGTTTCTCAGGGATAACATTCACCTGGAGCTCAATCATCTTCAGGGTCAGAAATTCCTTCCACAAATTCTCCTAGTAATAGAATAACATCCCTTCTCTTAGAAAACCCTAGCCTGTTCCCTAAGAATGTGATAACTGGCCTGATGGGATAAAATGTCTTTGACCTACTCAGCCTCTCTCTACACAATCCCCTCACCACCTCCCTATCCTAACTCCCAAAGACTGGTTCTTCATCTTCCTCCTCCTACCCACCTGAACACATCTGCAGCTGTCCCATAGCAACCCTGAAGCAGCTCTGGAGCCATATAACGGGGGTCACCCTCTTGGGCCTCACCAGGCCCAGCTGTCCCCAGCTCCACCAGCAGTCCAAAGTCTCCCAACTTGCAGCGGCCTCGGGGCCCCAGGAAAATGTTAGCTGGCTTGACATCCAAGTGGGCCAGTCCATGGCTGTGCAGGTGTGCCAAGGCCAGTAATGTGTCACGAAGATAACCCCAAACCTGGGCCTCAGGTAGGCCAGATCCCCGAGCCTCACAGTGCTGTTGTAGATTGGGCCCACATAGCTCTGTCTGCAAATACAGGAGCCCACCCTCTTCCCAAGCTCTCTCCAGACGAACACAACGGGGATGCCGTCCCACTTTTTCATGGCCCCCGACTTCTGCCAACTTGAGGGCCCGGTCCTGAGGACCCCTGAATGGGGAGACTGAACGTTTCACAGCATAAAGACGGCCATCTTCCTTGGAGCGAACCTAGAAATGGGGTGGCAGGTAGGACACTTAATATATTGCCAACTCTGAAGAGGGAAGAGTTTACAACTGAGTATAACACCCATATGAGGGGACGTGACTATAGGGAGGACGGAAATAACATCAGTACAATACTAATATATCACAGACTCAGGGATAAAGAGATTAGAATTGAGGTAGCTAGGTCAGAATCTAAGGAAAACATTGAGGGTAGGAAAGAAACCAGCCAGATCCTAGGATATTAATGTTTTCTGGTGGGGAAAGATTTGAGGACAATAGTAAAATAAGGACAGTATATAAGGAAAGGGATTTTCTGATATTAGATGAAATAATACTGATTTTTTTATGTTATGGGAATATTGTAATTTTTTTTTCTCATTTGTATTTGTCCCTTAGACTAGGAAAGTAGAAGTTAACTAAAATGATCATCTAGTAATATGAACAGAACAAAACAAGCCACCCTTGCCATTGGAAGACTTACTAATTGGCTAAGAATAAACCTGGCATTGAGGAATGGTCCAATAAGTTCAATTCTTTAAGCCTAGATGAGTGACTCTGAAAGTCAATTTTGTGGATTTTCTGAGATTGAAGATGTTATCCCCATCTGGGGACTATAAAGAAGCAAACACTCCAGGAGAGAGTATTATGACCAAATTAGGAATATATAAATGGAACAATTTAGAAAGGAAGCTAGATGTCACAAATCTAGGACAAGATAGCTTTCTTTCAGCTCAGGGCTACCTCCTCCAAGAAGCCTTTCTTAATCCTCCCAGTTATTAGTCCTCTCCTAGAGTATTTCCTAGAGTATTTGTCTCATTTCTTCTTTGTCCCCTTCACTCCCTAGCTTATATTTTACTTATCTGTGTACATGTCATATCACCCTAGTAAAATGTCAGATCTTTGATGGCAGGAACTGTTTGTTTTTTAATCTTTAAATACTCAATGTCTAGCACATTACTTTGCATATAGTATGTGTTTAACAAATGAAGTTATTTCCATACACATCTAGGTATATTACTTTTGAATTTGTATGTTTACTTTTCCTTCTGAAATAAACCTTAAAAAAAATGTGATTCTGTGTTTTGGTATATGTGGAGACAGGGAAAAAAGGAAGTGTGTGCCATAAATGGGCACCAAAATGTGGTAATGGCATCAGTAGAAGGGGAATAGTCATTTGGGGACTATATGTATAAAGTAGGATCTCTAAATTCTGGGAGCCAAACAGGAGAAGGGATTAGGAAGCTCCAGAAATTCAGGACTAAGTTTCAGTTGGGGTTGGGTCATTAGAAAATTTTTGAACATAGTAAAAGGAAAAAGCTCTGGATATAAAGTCAAGAACAGCAAAAAGACCCCCTGTATCAATTTCATTTGAAAAAGCTAGTCCCAAGCAGATGACTTTGAGACCTGCAACTTAGGGCTAGAACCTTTACTAGGAGATGGGGCTCAAAGTAGGGACATAATTGTCTCCCTTGAAAGGTCTTGAAAGAATTTAGTGAAAAAAAAAAGAGGTGGAGTTTAATCATGGGACCAAGGGATTCCTACCCCTCCACTCACCTTGAAGACCTCCCCAAAGGAACCCCGTCCCAATCGCCCAAGCCTCTGGAAACTCTGCTGGAAGAAAGACTCTGGCCGGTCTGGGTCATAGCCACGGCTCTGCAATGCTCCTGGGGGCCCACCCCGGAATGACACTCCTCTGGGTCTGGGTTGGCTCCAGCCAGGTGTTCGAGGGGGAAAGAATCGACTGACAGAACCACTCCCCTTGGCAGGCGGCCGAGGTGGGAGGCTTCTATTCAGGCCTCCAGGCCTCTTAAGAGAGAAGCCAGGCTCAGCATGACGAAAGTAGGCAGGAACAGGCACAGGAGTGCCATTCAGGGGTGGGGGTGCCCCTTCTGTTGGGACTGGCATGACCGGCACAGGAGACCCTACAAAACAAAGGAAGTCAGTAACTACTAAAAGCAGGTTAAATCATCATAAGAAATAGCTTACAAATGACAAAACTTCAGTCTTCCCATTGTTTACAGAATTAAGATTAAATTATTTTAGCACTCAAGACTTTCTATAATCTGGCAACAACTTACATTTCCAGTCATTTCTCATTATATAACCCTTCTGGCATTCCATATTCCTGGACTATTTATCATTCTTCAATATTATTATATTCTTCAATATATTCTCTCCAACTCTTGAGCATTTGCTGACATTACTCCCAATGCATCAGAATGCAACCTCTCCACATCTCTGCATGTTGAAATTCTTCTATTCTTTCAAGACCCAACTCAAGGGGCCTTTTCTTCATATTTTCCCCTATCTCCCAGCTAGAAGTGATTGCAATCTACCCTAAATCTCTCCTGTCATTCTATCTGACCCCTCCTATCCACTCCTATCACATTCCAACATAGAGATATCTGTGTATGTGTCTTATCCCCTGCCTAGATTGTAAGCTCCTGGAGGGGCTAAAAATATATCAGTGATGCTTTTTTGTATCCCCAATAACAAGCACAGGTTCTTGAATATAGTTAACTACTTAGAGTAAATGTTTTGCTCAACTGAAAGGAGAAGGCCTGGATCACAGTACACAGCTTGCATTGAAGAAAGGGATCCTACCAAAACATACACAGACACAGACACACAGACACAGCAAAAGAAGTCCAAACAGCACAGGATAACCTGCAACCAGGCCTGCTCAGACCAAGCAAAGCCTGATAAACGGCTTCAGAACCAGTCCTTCCCTCCTCTCCTCTAGTAATTACAAGTCAAACCTCCCTAGCTACCATATGTAATCATTCCATGTCAGAGGAGCCGGACTCCACCATACTCCTACCTGTGTGTCCTCTAGACCTTTAAAATCCTGGCAAACAAATGCTATAAACGTACAGTCAAAAGTAGATGGTTAAAAGGTGATACATTCCTTAGAAAGGAAAGTTCCACAGTTAAAATAACAGTTCACAAAATGAAGTGGGTTTTTGCGCAAGCGGCTACCATTCCGGGAGGAGGGATGAAACCAGAGACCCAGGGGTTATTACTGGGAAGAAGTGCGGGTGCCCAGGAAGCTGTGACTGGAAATGAGGCGATTTAGTTTAGGGGGTCCATGTAGGGGGAAGGCCCACCACCTAGGGGACAGGAAAGAGTAGAGAAGAGACAGGCTGCCTGTTATCCAAGGATGGGAAAAAGGAGCTGTCTCGGAGGTCAGGGAAATATCCGGGAAGGGGAAGGGGAAGGGCTGCCAGAGGAGGAGGAAGCAGGAAGAGAGAGGGAGTGAGGAATATTGGGGAGGGGGAAGTAGAGGGACGGGGGGGGGACGGGGGGGACGGGGGGTCGGGAGCAGGGCTATCTAGGAAGTCTGAGAAGGGCTGAGGGAGGGGAGGGCTAAGCACCAAGGGATGGTCCGTCAGGGAGTTAAGGGCACGGCCCAGGGAAGAAGGGCTGAGTAGGTGGGGAAGGGTTGGGGGTCCTGGCTGTCGGGCCAGGGAAGGGTCGGGGGTCCCGAAGGAAGGCTGGTAAAGAGAGGGAAGGGAAGAGGAGGGGCCGAGGGAGGAAGACCTGCCAGGGAGGGGCGGGGCCGGGCCGGGAGACTGGGGGATAAAGAGCTGTCAAGGAGGGGAAGGGGCTTGGGGGGGCGGGGCAGAGGGAAGATTGGACGGCAAAGGCTGTCAGGGAGGGGAAGGGGCCCTGGAGGAGTGGCTGAGGGCGGGCCCTGACGAGGGCGGGCCCTGACAGGAGCGAGCCCGCAGTACCTGGAGCTCGGAAGGCCAGGGCTGGGGCTGTTACCGAAGGTCAGGGGTCTCCTCAGGGTCAAGGGTCAGACGCTCACCGTCAGGTGGGGCTCGGGCTCCTGCTCCGGGTGCCCCGGATGAGCCGGTTCGGCACGGGGCCAGCCTTGAGGGTCGCGCTCAGTGGGGGAGGGAGGAGGGACAGGGAAGGGGAGGGGAGGGGAGGGTCCGGACGTCGGCAAGTCCAAAGGACTCCAGCGCGCGGAGGGATCGGTGGAACTTGGAGGGGCCCATGCGCGCGCGCGGCGCCTTCTCGCGCCAAAAATTCCAAATGAGTCTCCCAGACTCCGCCCGGGAATGCCTTCAGCCCCGCCTCCGCATGATGGATTCACCAATGAGCGGCTCCGCTTCTAGCCCATCCCCATTACGTATATGTTTCGTAGTCTGGCGAGGCTCTAGGCCCCTTCTGCCCACTCCCTGGGCGACGTCAGTGAAACCGCGGGGCGGGCCTTCCAGCTGCGAAGTCCCGCCCCTCCCCACCCACCGTGGAATGAGCCCTGCAGGTCCCAAGTTGGCCACAGCACGTGGCGGTAGCTGAGCCGAGCTGTGCTTGCCTGGGGAGAACGCTGGAAAGTCTGAGCTGGAAGGAATCACGGGATGTAAAAGCTTGCTGTCTAGGCCTGCCCACACCAGAAAAAGAATCTCCACACAGCCTGACTAGTGGTCATCTGGAGTCTATTTGAAGACCTAAGATGAAGAGGAACCAGCTATGTCCCGAGGCATCTAGTTCCACTTTGGGACATCTCTAATCATTAAGAAGTTTGTCCTGACATTAAGCTTAAATCTGCCTCTTTGCACCTTCCACCCCATTGTTCCTAGTCCTGCCATACACACACAGAGAGACACGTGATTTGTATACTTTAAAGATGCTATAATTGTTCAGTTGTTTTTCAGTCATGTTCGACTCTTCATGACCCCATTTGGGGCTTTCTTGGCAAAGATAGTGGAGTTCCTTCTCCAGCTCATTTTTTTTTTTTTTTGGTAAGGCAATTGGGGTTAAGTGACTTGCCCAGAGTCACACATCCAGTGAGTATTATGTGTCTGAGGCTGGATTTGAACTTGGGTCCTCCAGACTCCAGGGCTGGTATTCTATCCACTATGCCACCTAGCTACCCCCCTCCACCTCATTTTACAGATGAGGAAACTGAGGCAAACAGGGTTAAGTGACTTGTCCAGGGTCATATAGCTAGTAAGTGTCTGAGGCCAGATTTCAACTCAGGAAGTTTTCCCGACTCCAGGCCTTGGTACTCTTACTTACTTCACCACCTAGCTGCCCCAAAGATATTATAAAGGGTGTCCCTAGAAGTCTTAATGCAGTTTTAAGTAATTAAAGCTTTAATAGCTTATTATTTTTTATTGTTATTCAGACTCTCTTTGAAGACTTCCAGAGAGGGGGACCACTTAGTTGCCCACCTGTTAGAAGGCAGCCCACTCCACATTTTGGATAGCTCTAATTGGTTTTGTTTGTTTGTTTGTTTTTAAGGAAGAATTAGAACCAATAAGAGGAACCACAAGAAAGAGGAAACAAAATAAAACGGGAGGAAAAAAAGAGTAAATAGTATGCTTCAATCTGCATTGAAACTCCATACTTCTTTTTCTGGATGTGGATAGCATTTTCTATCACAAGACTTTTGGAGATGTTTTAGATTCTTGCATTGCTATCAAAGTTAATCATTACAAAATGTGGTTGTTACTTTGTACAACATTCTCCTGGTTCTGCTCACTTCACTCAGCATCAGTCCATACAGGTCTTTCCAGGTTTTTCTGAAGTCCTCTTGCTCATCATTTCTTCATCTTTTTTTTCTTTTCTTTTTTTTGGGGGGGAGGGGGCTAGGCAATGGGGTTAAGTGACTTGCCCAGGGTCACACAGCTAGTAAGTGTCAAGTGTCTGAGGCCAGATTTGAACTCAGGTCCTCCTGACTCCAGGGCCATTGCTCTATCTACTGCACCACCTGATTGCCCCTTGCTCATCATTTCTTATAGCACAATAGTATTCCATCACATTCATTTACTACAACTTGTTCAGCCATTCCCCAATTGATGGGCATCCACTCAATTTCCAATTGTTTGCCACCACAGAAAGAGCTGCTATAAATATTTTTGTACATGTGGGTCCTTTTCCAGTTTGTATGATCTCTTTAGAATACAGCCCTAGAAGTGCTATTGCTGGGTCAAAGGCTATGCACATTTTTATGCTCTTTGGGCATGGTTCCAAATTGCTCTCCAGAATGGTTGGATCATTACACAACTCTGCCAACAATGCGTTAGTGTTCCAATTTTCCCACATCTCTCCAACATTTATCATTTTCCTGTTTTGTCATGTTGGCCAATCTGATACATGTGATGTGGTACCTCAGAGTTGTTTTGATTCGCATTTCTCTAATCAATAGTGATTTAGAGCATTTTTTCATATGACTATAGATAGTAACTTTAATTATTAAGAAGTTTTTCTAATATCAAACTTAAATCTTCCTCTCTTCAACTTCTACCCCATTGCTCCTATTTCTGCGCTCTCTGTTCATATAGCTCCTGGGTTTGTCTTGGCATATAGACTCCGAAATATTTTATTTTGTCTACAGTTATTTTAAAGGGAATTTCCCTTTCTATCTCATGCTGCTGGGCTTTGTTAGTAATATATAGAAATGCCAATGATTTATGTGGGTTTATTTTATATCTTGCAACTTTGATGAAGTAATTAATTATTTCAAATAGTTTTTTAGTTTTAGTTGTTTTAGTTGATTAGTAGTTTTAGTTGATTTTCTAACCATCATATCATGGTGATCATGATGATCATACCATCATATCATCTGTAAAGAGTGATAGTTTTATTTCCTCATTGCCGATTTTAATTCTGTCAATTTCTTTTTCTTCTCTTATTGCTAAAGGTAACACTTCTAGTACAATATTGGTAACAGTGGTGATAATGGACATCCTCTTTTCACCCATGATGTAATTGGGAATGCTTCTAGCTTATCCCCATTATGTATAATGCTTGCTGATGGTTTTAGATAGATGGTACTTATCATTTTAAGGAAAATTCCATTTATTCCCATGCTCTCTAGTATTTGTAGTAGGAATGGGTGCTATATTTTGTCAAAAGGTTTATCTGCATCTATTGAGATAATCATATGATTTCTGTTAATTTTTTATTGTTATGATATGATAGGCTCCCTTTGTACTTTTTCCTACGTGACCCATCTTTAAATCTCAACATATTGATATTGATATTTTGTTATTGATATGGTCAATTATGCTAATAGTTTTCCTAGTACTGAACCAGCCCTGCATTCCTGGTATGAATCCCATCTGGTCATAGTGTATTTATTTCTGCCCTCTGGAGCCAAGCAGAAGTCTAATCTTTGATCCCCATGATTTCCTTTTAAGTACTGGTATCTTTCATTCACACCAAAGTGAAAGAGACCTGGGGCGGGGGGGTTATCTACTCCAACTCGTATCCCAACATATTTCCTCTACAAAATAAGCCAACTAATCCTATTTTCTTCAGCTCATCTTCATGTGCCGTGGTTTCTATTCTTCTCATCATTCCGGTCACCTTTTTCCAGCTTGTCGATTGCACTTTGGGATGCTTTCAATGTGTACAAGGTTGGATCTTTCCTTATACTCCCTCAGTTCCTCTCCTCCTTAACCCCACCACTCTTACCTTCAGAACTGTGTACTGCAGGGAAGCTGAATGAGAATATAGTGGCTTGTCATCTGAAATGGGCTACTTTAGAATGACAAATTGCTTGGTAAGAGAGCCATGAAGGGCTACAAGGACAGTCACAGCAGAGTGCCAGTGAAACAGCTTAAGAGGGGCTTATCTTGCAAGGTAGCAGACTCTTTCCAGAGTCCAAGAACTTTGGAGAGACCTGCTAGAGCCCAGTCAAATAAATAGAGCGGCCTCCTAGGCCCAAGTAATGAGAATGGCATGGGAAAGCTCTGCTGATGGCATGGCCGGTGCAACTCGCCTGCATCTTGAGTTCGTGCATCACGGGGCATAGGAGTTGAAACAGATTTTGCTGAGGTGATTCTGTTCGGCTTCTCCTTGAGATTCTGACTGTGAACGAGGTAAATTCAAACCATTGATGGGTTGCAGCACAGGAATTACTGAAGAAGTGATGTACTCTTTGTTGGGGAAGTAAAGCAGCTGGCTCACTACTGTATTTTATCATATTTTTATTTTAGTAAATACACCTAAACCATAATTTAAGTACTTTTTATCTTTAGGTCACACAAAGTGGAATGGAGATAAATTTAGTAATGGGAAACAAGACATGAGCTATCTTTGGAGATTTTCCCAAAGTTTAAACATCAGAGTAGGGATGAAATATAAGCTGAAGTTCTAAAATAGATTTTTTGAAACATTATATGTACATAGTTTTTGCGTTTTTAAACCCTCAACCAAACTGAAAGGAACCTAGGCCAAGGGAGAAGGGCATGTGCCTCTGTATCATATAAGCAGGAGGAAGCCTGCTATACCTGGCAGCTCTTATCGCATGTGGGGATTAGACGTGTCACAGCACCCACTTTATACTTTATAGGTAGGGTACTCTCTACCCTCCCTACCTTTACACATCAGAATCAAATTTCACTAAAGAAAATTTGACTAAATTTCACTAACATGGGATGCCTGGAACCCAACACAATACTTTACCTTTCGATCAAAATACAGAGAGACTATCGTCTCCCTAGTTCTGAACACAACAACTCTAAATAAGTCTAGGACTGCATTAGACCTTTGACACGATGCATAGAGTGCTGGATTTGGACTCAGAAAGACTTGAGTTTGAGTCTTGCCTCAGAAACTTACTAGCTGTGTGACATGTCACTCAACCTATCTGTCTCAGTTTTCTCTTCTGTAAAATGGGTATCATAAAAGCACCTACCTTTAAGGGTTGTTAGGATCAAATAAGACAACATATGTAAAGGACTTTGAGAACTTTTAAAGCAATATGTAAATGCTAGTTGTTATTGTTGGGGTAGCTAGGTAGCTAAGTGAATAGGGTGCCTATCCTAGGCCTGGAGTCAGGAAGACTCATCTTCCTGAATTCAAATCTGACCCCAGACACTTACTAGCTGTGTGACCCTGGGCAAGTCACTTGATGCTGTTTGACTTAGTTTGTTCATCTGTAAAATGAGCTGGATAAGGAAATGGAAAATGGAAAGCAATGGAAAACCGTTCCAGTATCTTTGCCAAGAAAACCTCAAATAGGGTCACAAAGAGTC